CTGTGGTACAGAGTCCTGATGTTCCAGTGGGTGGTGGGAGTCAAAACGCAAATATTGGTCTGTGTGGGTGGGCTTACGATATACGCCAGTTTCCAACCGTCCTCCATCCGAAACCGAGACATCGCAATCCAGGAACGCCAACCTGCCATTTTTTTACATCCTCTCGTGTGAACTTAATATATTCATCCACAGAGTTGATGTGATCAGTGAAATGTTGGACCTCCTGGGCTTTAATTTTAACCCAGGTGTCGTCAACATATCTGAACCAATGGCTCGGTGGCACCCCTGAAAAGGACATCAAGGCTCTCTTTTCCACTTCCTCCATGTACAGGTTTGCAACAATAGGAGAAACGCTCCACCCCCTGTTAACAATAGGTATTAATTAGGTGTCAACGATAGCCATGTGATGTGAGTATCAGTCACCTGGAGGCAGGACTCAAAAGCCTGAATTTTGCCTGAAACTCTCAGACTGAAGAAGTCTCTTGGAAGAGAGACAAAACATTTCATTAGAGAAGAACCCGTCCAGAAGACCTATACAATTTTTTTTCCTTTTGATTTTTTACCTGGATTACTGAGATGCATCAGGACGTATTACTTTAATATTTTCTTTGTTCAAAAACATTTAAAATTTATAGAATCTTGTGTGTGTGCACTTGTTTCATGTGTTTTGCAGCTGTATGTTTTTTCTTCTTTGAAAGCATATTTATTTATTAATTTACTTTACTTTTTGTTACATAAATAACATTTTATTTGACTAAAACAACAAATACAATCATCCATCATTTTGTCTTGCTGATCATGGTGTATGGGTTGGGTGTATAAAATATTAAATGGATTATAATTTTATTTTGCATTATTTGTGTTTGCAGTGAAACACCCTCCTCAGCTCTTACCATGTGATGGTAGGACTGTGGGGTTGGACTCCACGTAGCGCCTGGAGAAGTGAGACAGGACCCTCTCCCTCTCCTGAGTCTCCCCCATCAGTGCAAACTGCCTGAGGAAAGTCCTGCAGCACAAACATAAAAAAACTGGATGTAAATTAAAATGTGGCCTAATTTGAAGCATTACAAAAAATATATTTTATATAATAGTAAATGTATCAAAAAACGGTCAAATTGTGCAATAAATGTTCAGTGGATCCGGTACAGGAGGGGAGGGATGGGAGGGATTTTGGGGGTGTGTGTTTTGTTTTGTGTTTTTGTAAGTCTGTTCTTTTTTGTGGTTTGTTAAAAAAATTTAATAAAAAGACCTTGATCAAAAAAAATTGTGCAAGAAATGTTAATTAATGTGAATGAAATAAAAAATAATAATAATCAGCTGCAATTCCAAAGCAGTTCTCTAGAGGGCAGTGTTCACCTGAGGATAAATTCCTGTTTTCCAATCAAATCAAAGCTGCTATGATCCAGAAACAAGAACTTTATGAGACTTTAGAAGTTCATTCTTCATATTTTATCAAAAATTTATTTATTTTTGCTAAAAGAACTGTACTTTTCTGTGTCTTTCCTTACCGCAGAGCTTGGTCGAGTGTGAGGCCGGTAAAACTGAAGAAACTCAGGTACTCCTCTGCAACAACGCGACTAAAATCATTGCTGTAGACAAATAAATAACAAAACAACAAATAAGAACTAAAGAAAATAAACTGCCCTCAGCTCATTCAATGACCTCTATTTGAAACGTGCAAAAGAAAAAAAATAGGATGATTCTGAGGAATGATTCAAAGTAAACGACTCCAGAAAAAAACATTTTTAAACGTCTAAAACTCACTTTTTGCTGAGGTGGCGCGACACGTCAGACTTCCTGAAGCCGTCCAGGTTGAAGAGGCGCTTGGCCAAACGTTTGGCGGCCGCCACGTCCCCGCGGTGGCTTCCGTTGGTCAGGGTGTCGCTGCTGCCCAGACCCAGCCGGTCGCTCAGGTCCTGGTCCAGCTCGGAGTMCGTCGCCAAGCGGGCCTTCTCCCTGCTGACAGAGGGAGGAGCCGGAAAAGGTTAAACGAGGTCAGAATGAGGAAAAGACTCAGAGTTAACGGGTTTTAACGACGGAAACGAGGTCGTCGGGTTTGTTTGGCCAAACGACGGGGACTTTTCCCCGCTGCCACGCAGAGCCGGCTGACTTCCCCGGCCTCTCCAGCTGGCTGCAGGAAACGTGACGGAGCAGCTGCTGGGATCCAAAACTCAAACATTTTCCTAAATAAAAACAAGCTTTTCATCATGAGGCAAAAGCCAAGAAC